TGTGAGACATCCAAATAAGCAAGGGGCTCTTTCGCCTGATACTCCGAGGTGTGTCACGGAATAATTCTGGTTTACTTGATGAACGATTCTGGTTTAGCTGTAGGTTCACATAAGGTATACACACATAAGAACAGCATGCATGCTATAGTATGATACTTTTGTTGCATGTGAGTGTATATACGCGTGAGTGTTTATATATGTGCGTGTGCCAAACTGCCCATGCGTATAATAGATTAAGAATATGCACTATTGAAATACTATATCTCTATAGATATACTACTTCTGCTTTATTAAGTATATCTGCTGCAACACATATGTTTATATGCATTAACAGAATCCCATACGCGATTATACCGCTTGTACGCTACCAGAATAATTCCGTGATGAGCACGGGACACGGTGCAAGATAAGACAGGTGGTACGAAGTACCACCTCAATGCTTTGTGTGGTCTGTCGCAATTTTGTAGCAGTACCAAGTTCTCCACCATGTGGATTAGTGTCAAAAATGTAGTATGTATATACATACATATTAAAACGGTTACATATGTATACACACACATATATGGATAAATTCTACATATATATACTACCTTTTCGACACTGATCCATCTGGTGGAAAACTTGATAGGGGAGGGTGGGGCGAACTTCGTCATGTGGGTGACTTCGTCACCCGATGTTTTTTCTTTAACAATTCATATTGCAATGTCATTTTTGTTGAAATAGGTTCTTAAATGCATTTACTTAAATCATCTCAAAAATTTATACGAAAAAACTATTTTACCTTTTAATAAAATCAAACTGAAAAATTGAGCAAAAAATGATGGTTGGACAAGAATTTTTCAGCACTGGCTGAATAAAAAATTATAAGTTTACGTGTTTTCTATCGTAGACGTTTGAAAGCTTGATTGCTAAACTTTCAAATCCATTTTTTTTTATGATGAGATAAATATTAACAAAGTTATTGCAAATTTAAAAAAAGTGTAAAGATAAGCACAGTTCGTCACTTGTGAAGGGGCACAGTTCCTCACCGGCAAGCGCAGCAGTAGGTACGTGTAGGTTAAGTTCTCGTTGTGTTGACTATGGTGCGTTATTATAAAAAAAAGTTGCATTCTCATGATTGGACCGATGAGGATATGAATTTAGCGAAACAAAGTGTTCGTGATAAATAATCGATCAAATCTACTGCTGCAGAGTTTAGAATCCCGAGGACAACTCTTCAGTACAAAGTGCAGAACACAAGCACAACTGAAGAGCAAACACGTAATTCCGCGTCGATTTTCACGTAATTTCTAATTTATTTTATTAGTATTAAAAAACTTGATACTGTGATTGAGACTACAGAAAATAAATCTACAAAAAAAAAAATAAAATTTTTTCATTTTAGTTCAATAAACCTTTCTCTATTTATCTGATGCACGCTCGCCTGCATTTTAAGAGCAATTGAACTCATTATTTGCATTTGAAAACTATTATTAACCAAGTAATTTCAATACAAATAATTGTTTATCACTTGGAATCATGGAAATAAGTGCACCGTACCTAACCTTACCGGCAGTCAGATACGTGTCTAGCGAGATTATGACAAACTCTGACCCTTCCCCTCCTTATGACGAACTATATCCCGCCATGACGGATTGGGCCCAGCTCGAAGATCATTTGATTTTACTTAATAAAAACGATAATTGTATGGTTTTTTTTTTTAAGTGGAATTGCTTTCTTGAGATATTTGCCTTTAAGATGCGTGTGTGTAAATAATCTCATCAACAAAAAGTTTTCTCTCATTAACGAGAAAAAAATGGGTGACGCCAGTGCCCCACCCTCCCCTATAAATAAGTTTTAGTAAATAAACAGACTCGGATATACAGTGAGAGCTCATACAAAAGTACGATTTTTTTGCAGCGGTTATTTAAGAATCTTAAGATGTATATTTAGCGCACATAATTGATTTTTTGCGCAAGCGCAATATCAAGTGGTCAAGATGCCGTGATGCTGCCATAGAGATATTATAGATCTATAATATCTCTATGGACGATGCACCTGTCTAATACCTATAGTTTTTT